CACTGCTGCACAGCTGCGACCGACACCGACAGTGGCAGCATACAATCACGCAATTTGACCAGAGTCACCGAGGTCGACTCTACTACTACTACTACTACTATTACTACTTCTACTACTACTACCACCACTATGGTCATCGGTTGTGCCGCAGAACGCGTCTCAAGTTTTCCGAGCGAGGAGAAGAGTTCCGGACCAAGAGAAGAATTGAATTCAAAATCTAATATCGAAGGAGAGGAAAAAGAATCTTCCTATAATCAATTCAAGAAAATAATTGCACTCTATTTCCATAACCTCTGCTTCAGAATTGATCAAAATATTCTTTATTCAAGAACCTCCTGATACTTGTCAGGAGTAACCATCACATCTGGTGTTTGTCACCTATGGCGTTCCGAGTTCCGAAAGTATCATTACACAGTCCCAGCCAAAACGCACATGTTGCCTTGTCGCGTTGGCGAACAACTAAGGTCAGATGAGCATCAAAGGTTGTCTTGGCATGGTGCGCCCAGCCATGCAAAGCTGCATCATGATGTTTGGTTCTCGACACAGTACGCAGCCATGCAAAAACCCTAAACTGGAAGAATTTCGTACTTGGATTCATGTTAGAGGAGACATGATGTTGAGACAAGCCACCGCCTCAGACTGGTATTGCACGTATCATATTTTGTGAGTCTGTAGATCCATTATACCATTTGCATCCCCTTTTCACCCCTGGACGGACTTCCAATTCGATGAGAGCCCGTTGGCTGAACGCGGCACATGGGCTTTGGGGAGCTGAATGGAGCTGAGCTTCGAGATCTCGCGCAGCGCGGGAAGTCAGCAGCAGTTGGCGTTTTCAAGCTCTTGAGCTCGGTGTTCCTGAGCGACTTCATCGGTTGCGGGTCCAGCTTTGGCGTGGAGCCTACGTCTGAACAGTCGCTTTGCTTATTCTGGGTGAGAAAAATCGCCAAACCGCTACGTTCATCAACGACTGGCATCCGTATCAGCTGCACCATCATCCAACACGTACTTCTTACAGTAGCCGTGTTGTCGCTATCATCATGGAAATGTTGTCGTTAATGCGTAAGAAGTTTCGGACAACCACCCCAAAATCCCTCATCATCCTGAAATCCTTAGACCCTCCCCAAACGCAAACAAAAACACCGGCACACTACCGACCACTTGCCCCCTTCAAAGCCTCTGCCGCAAACCCTGTCAACCCTAAACCCTAAACCCTAAACCCTAAACCCTAAACCCTAAACCCTAAACCCTAAACCCTAAACCCTAAACCCTAACGCGAAGAAGGCCCGGGCTCAAGCTCTCGGAACGGGCGTCCGCCTCTTGGGAAGCTTGGGTTCCCGGGATTTTGGGGTGCAAAGCGTCGCAGATTCCAAGGGACTTTACTGTGCAAGAGAATATCTATATATATATATACATATATATATATACATATATGTATATATATATAAGCTCGCCACCCACCCCCCCCAAGAAACCAAAACAACCCAAACCAAAAAAAACAAAACAAAAAAAAACCAAAACAAAAAAAAAAAAACAAAAAACCAAAAAGAACATTTTTTTCGAACTCTTGACGACACGGGTAATGATTCCCTTTGTCCAAGAGCCTCGGAATAATGTTTTTTTTTGGTTTTTGGTTTTTTGGGGTTTTGGGTTTTTTGGTTTGGGTTTTTTTGGTTTTTGGGTTTTTTTGGCTTCCAAGAGTCTCAGAAAAATGGTGATTTTGGTTCTTTTGGTTTTTTGGTGTTGGTTTTTTTGGTTTGTGGGTTCTTGGTTTGTCTGATTTTGTGTTTCTCTTGTAGAGAAATAGTGCGTGCCCAAAACCTAGGGAAATACTGTGCTTTTTCAGATGCATAGTGCCTGTACTAAGCAAATATTGAACTAGTACTATACGAAAGAGGCCGAGTGAACTATCCTAGTTTTGGTCACTCATAGAATATCTATTGCAAAATGTAGCGATTGTGCTCGGCAATCTAGACAAATACTGCAATTTTAGAGACAAGATGTTTTTTGAAAAGCAATTCATTCTGTTTCTAGAGAAGCAGTGCTTGTCCCAAGCCCAGGGAAATTTATACTCTTCTAAGCACATAGTGCGGCAAAAAAAGCTGAATTACGAACTCTTAAACAGCATAGACAAGCTTACAAATGCATAATTCTCGTAGAGTTCTTAAAGAAACACGACTTTAGCACAGCGATCATGTGTACTAGATTTTGACTTCAAAACAAGCAGTTTTCATCACGTAGTGATGAAGCATTGCTCGGGCACTAATTAAATACCACTTGTACAGAGGATATTCTGTCTCAAGAATACATATTCTTTCTTAGAAGCCTATCTGCCTCGTGAAGATCATAGTACTCGGAAATTCCAAATCCTAAAACCTTGGGAGAATCTTGGTTTAGGGTTTAGGGTTTAGGGTTTGAAGGCTTAAGATTGCTCAGACCGGAACCTCGTCAACCGATAGGGTTTAGGGTTTAGGGTTGAGGGTTTAGGTGTGAATTACTTTGCGGGGGACCGTGTGTGTGTGTGTGTGTGTGTGTGTGTGTGTGTGTGTGTGTGTGTGTGTGTGTGTGTGTGTGTGTGTGTGTGTGTGTGTGTGTGTGTGTGTGTGTGTGTGTGTGTGTTTGTGTGTGTCTGTGTGTATGTGTGTGTGTGTGTGTGTGTGTGTGTGTGGCTGTGTGTGTGTCTGTGGTGTGTCTGTGTGTATGTGGTTGTGTGTGTGTGTGTGTGTGTGTGTGTGTTGTGTGTTGTGTGTCTGTGTGTGTGTGTGTCTGTGTGTGTCTGTGTCTGTGTCTGTGTGTGTGTGTGTCTGTGTGTGTGTCTGTGTGTGTGTCTGTGTGTGTCTGTGTGTGTGTGTGTGTGTCTGTGTGTGTCTGTGTGTGTCTGTGTGTGTGTGTGTGTGTCTCTGTGTGTGTGTGTGTGTGTGTGTGTGTCTGTGTGTCTGTGTGTGTGTGTGTTTGGATAGACACATGTGCATATATATATATATATGTGTATGTATATATATATATATATATGGCGTGTCAGAGTGTGGAAGAGACCTAGCCCAGCCCCGTGGGAGCCTCTCCCAAGCCGGGGGAGGCAGCGCAAAAACTTCGCAGTCACAAGTTAAGCCTTGCGGCTCTTGGATAGCTTAGCTTGCAGGTACGCGGAGTCCATGCTTTGCTTTCTTCGGCTGCGATGTCTAGGTCAAAGCCCTGTGTCAAGAAATTGAGTAAGTTCGGGATGCACTCCGAATGAGATGTCGCGACTTCCGAAGAAATTTTGGTCCGAAGTAAGTATCCTGAACAGCAGTCATGCGCAGCTTTGAAACCTTGACCGTGCCTGCAACGTCTTCGGCCGCTTGAAGCAGATGGCAGCCTCTGCCGAAGCAACGTGCAAAGGTTTCTTTAATTGCAAATACAGTATAATGCACATTCTAGATCTCTATATGAACAGCTACACGCACACAAGCACACACGGCACGGGCATTTTCCAGTGGCCTGTGCACAGATTCCGTCTAGAAAGCTGCAGCCAAGATAACACCGCGACTTCTCACATCATCACTGCGTAGCGTCGCATAGGGAAGTTCTGCTCGCGCGTCTTGGTGCGGGAGGTCTTGGCGTAGATCTGCTCCTTCTTGAGAGCACGGCGGATCTTTCGGGTCTTCTTCGGGCGAAGGTCCAGTGGCACATACTTCTTGCCGGCATACTGCTTCCTCGCCTCCGCCTTCTGCTTCTGGTTGTACACAGTGAGGATCCTGGCGATGGCCTTGCGGACGGTCTTGATCTTCGCCAGCTTCGAGGCAGCACCTCCCGACACCTTCGAGACCCGCAGCTGGGCCAACTCACCCTTCATGTCGTCCAGCTCCTTCAGCAGCTCCTTGGACGTCTTGTTGCGCAGCTCATACGCCTTCACGCGCACCATGGCTGCAAAGCGCTGCACGCTTGTCTGAGCTAACCTGCCTGCATACCTGAGCCAAGGCACATTCACAGTCCAGCCATGTACATGCGACTGCATGCTGCAGTATGTCCAAATTGTCTATGTAGATGAAGCAATGTTCCTCGCAGTTCGGCCCCACATTGCACACCTGCAAATTATTAGGGGTCATGTGAGCATGTCAAATGAGAAGCATGCTTGCCCAATGATCTTCTAAGCAAGGCTGACAAGACTTTTGTGCAAGGATCCCGGTTCGTCGCATCATCTCTACCATGGTGGGGACTGGTGAACCTCTCACATCATCACTGCGTAGCGTCGCATAGGGAAGTTCTGCTCGCGTGTCTTGGTGCGGGAGGTCTTGGCGTAGATCTGCTCCTTCTTGAGAGCGCGGCGGATCTTTCGGGTCTTCTTAGGGCGAAGGTCCAGTGGCACATACTTCTTGCCGGCATACTGCTTCCTCGCCTCCGCCTTCTGCTTCTGGTTGTACACAGTGAGGATCCTGGCGATGGCCTTGCGGACGGTCTTGATCTTCGCCAGCTTCGAGGCAGCACCTCCCGACACCTTCGAGACCCGCAGCTGGGCCAACTCACCCTTCATGTCGTCCAGCTCCTTCAGCAGCTCCTTGGATGTCTTGTTGCGCAGCTCATATGCCTTCACGCGCACCATGGCTCAGAGGTTGGGGGTCCTATTCGCCTCTGAATGCTGGGAACGTAGGTACCTTGCACAACGGCCTGAGCCGAAGCGTCAGCATGCAAATTTTGCAGCAAGACACTCCCCTGGCTCCACACTCGACATGCGGTGAGCGCTTCTGGCTGAAGATGATGCCATTGTGCTCAGCATTTCATGGCATTGTGCAGTCAAAGGAACGTTGGACAAGTTAGCACTGGTTGAAAGCAAGGCCGCCAGCAAACGAGCAATTCCAGCCCAAAAGGTGTCAACTACTGCCAAGCCTCGCTGCAGCTTTTCTCGCGAGGATCGTGCATCTCCTTTACTGATTCCACCCATCTGTTAGAACTACAGCCGGAAAATCTCACATCATCACTGCGTAGCGTCGCATAGGGAAGTTCTGCTCGCGTGTCTTGGTGCGGGAGGTCTTGGCGTAGATCTGCTCCTTCTTGAGAGCACGGCGGATCTTTCGGGTCTTCTTGGGGCGCAGGTCCAGCGGCACATACTTCTTGCCGGCATACTGCTTCCTCGCCTCCGCCTTCTGCTTCTGGTTGTACACAGTGAGGATCCTGGCGATGGCCTTGCGGACGGTCTTGATCTTCGCCAGCTTCGAGGCAGCACCTCCCGACACCTTCGAGACCCTCAGCTGGGCCAACTCACCCTTCATGTCGTCCAGCTCCTTCAGCAGCTCCTTGGATGTCTTGTTGCGCAGCTCATACGCCTTCACGCGCACCATGGCTCAGAGGTTCAGTGGGTGTAGGATTGCAACAAACCAAGCGATCTCCACCGCTTGCCTTCGAGAGATATCGGTGTTGAGGCAAGACAGATGCTTACAAGACATCGGCCTGCTGTACTGCATGTGGCATGTGGCCTGACCTTCAATCAGTTGACCCTGTGGGTGTGACCTATCCAAACAGATACCATCTAAGGCATGTCAGATCATGCGAACCAACTCTCTTTAAAACAAGTGTGAGCGGGCTACGCGCAGGCAGGCAACGTAGGACTGCCGATTTCTCTCCAAAGGCTCATGCATCTCACCTTCCACACCCGAGCGCCAAACTACGCACATCCCGGCAGATCTCACATCATCACTGCGTAGCGTCTCATAGGGAAGTTCTGCTCGCGTGTCTTGGTGCGGGAGGTCTTGGCGTAGATCTGCTCCTTCTTGAGAGCACGGCGGATCTTTCGGGTCTTCTTCGGGCGAAGGTCCAAAGGCACATACTTCTTGCCGGCATACTGCTTCCTCGCCTCCGCCTTCTGCTTCTGGTTGTACACAGTGAGGATCCTGGCGATGGCCTTGCGGACGGTCTTGATCTTCGCCAGCTTCGAGGCAGCACCTCCCGACACCTTCGAGACCCGCAGCTGGGCCAACTCACCCTTCATGTCGTCCAGCTCCTTCAGCAGCTCCTTGGACGTCTTGTTGCGCAGCTCATACGCCTTCACGCGCACCATGGCTCAGAGGTTGAGTTGGTTGCCCAACCGTTTGTTAGCCCCCCCTCGCTTGTTGAACCTGACAACGCAGCATGCGGATGACGCATGTATTGTAGCGCTCCAGGCAATGCAAACAAGAAAACAGACGGCAGGGCACAGCCACAATTCGTTCCTGTCTGATTTGATGGAGATTATTATTCATGGCTGGTTTGGTAAATGCATACCCCGCACAGAGACATGGTGGGATTGATGATGAGCTGTGGCGACTGGAACGCGGAATTTTTACAGCTACTCACTTGCGTCTTCACACCTCCCTATTGCTGGAAACCCTGCTCTTGCCGCCTCCGCTGCCGCCCGGGCAGATCGTCAAGAGAATGCCTAGTCGATGTGTGGCATCACACAACATACTTCTGGGGTTAACTTCCAGGGGTTCGGAGGCTCTGTAGTCTTCGGTGAATCGCGGAATCTTTACTGGCTCAACGCTCACATCTCGGTGCCCATTCTCGTCGCATCGGTCGTAGCATCTGCTTATTGGTGGCATGTTGGCATGTTGGCATCCGGGCGAGGATTCAGGGACAAACAGTCTAGCCACGAGCAGTCAGGCGCGCGCGCGGGGGGGCATGGTTCCGGTGGACGCCACGATGCCCACATCTCGAGCAAAAGGGGGTTGAGTTGTGGCCAGTTTAGGTCAGTTTAGGATTCAGGTGCCAGGGGCCACAAGAGGCACCTTTTTACGTGCTGCAGTACACAACTTTGATTCGGCGACGAGTTGCCCGCACCAGTCCTGCATCTCCCCACATGCGGGCATGGCTCGGGACAGCTACAAGTTGATGCAAACGTGCTATCTCGGCAGAAGACGTCTGAACAACTGTTGCTGCTGGGAACTCCTCGTTACTTGTAGAAAGGTCATGTTCTGGTTCTTACTACTGTGATGACCATGTATGACAACACCCTGAAGCAAGTTCTCCTTACCGGGTTGGCAACTTGCTGGTGGTGCAGTGCGTAAAGGCAGTGCGAGGTGATGCTGCAGGCGCCCAGATGTCGGATGCCAACTACAATGCAGTGTACCGCAACTACAGGAAGACATGCTGCCAGCTGGGATGCCGAGGACATGAACAGGCAGTAGAACATTAGCACCGGTTCGGGAAATAAGCCTCTTGTTGGTGTGAGGTAACACAGCAGAAACAGCCTATCTAAGGCTATCTAAGCATTTCCAAGTCCGGTACTACTTTGTTCCATCGCAAGATGCCATCTGCTTTCTGCTTCGCCTGCGACTTGTATCTGGTTGGTTGGGGGTACCCACGAAGTATAGTTGTCGAGGGCGTCGGGGGTTGGCTGTCAGGTTGACACCGGGAAGTGGAGAAAAGAAACGATGATAAAGCTTCGACTGATGTCGCACGTGCTGAATATGTACAACCTGCAAGCATTGAAAGACATGGATCCCTTCGCGGTGTCCTCCTCTAATTAACAGAAGTATACTCAGTGTATGGTGGCACAGAGACATGTCAGCAAACGGAGTCGCGCAGCGCCCAAGCAAACGCTTTTTAAGTGCAGTCACCTGACCTGGAAACAGGACGAATTCTGCACTTCGGTGCCCGACTCAGAGCAGAACGTCGCGGCCGGGCCAAGGCTGCGTGCCTTGCATGCGGTCTTTTGGTGCAGGGGTTTAGGGTTTCGGGTTTAGGGCTTACAGGATGTGATGCGCATGACTTCTGGAGGGTATTGGAGGGTGACTGTATGCTTCTGCCATGGGATGAACCATCTCGTGCACTTGCTTGCAGAGGGCAGGGTAGACCAAGTCCACCGGCGCTTCCGAAGGGCATCCAATGTACCTCCACAGAGGGTTTAGGGTTCAGGGTTTAGGGTTTATAGGGAATCAGCACATTTAATATCTGTTCAAAATGTATCACTGCGTCCACGGATCCAATTCTTCAGGTTGCCGATAAAGCGCTGAAACACATGCGAGCATTGAGGCTTTCGGCGCTGAAGGCCCTCCGCCCTCCCTGAAGAAGAGTGAAGGAGTAGCACTCTGGGAAACCCTAAACCCTAAACCCTAAACCCTAAACCTCACCCCACAAGCCAGCTGAGTCTAGAAGGCACCAGCGACAGCGGCGACAGTCAAGCTGCAACAAGGGCACGTGCTGGAATTTCCCCCACAAAGGCCGTACTCTTTCACCCGGCCATCCTTGGGTGCTTCCCACAGCTGATTCCTATAGTCTTGTAGCTACGAATTGTGCTAAGACTCCTAAGAGTCATGAAATTGCCGTTTGGGTTGCCAGCACGGCTCTTAGAACTTCAAGTTTTAAGCTTGCGGGTATCCGACGTGAGGATTTGGGATCAAGGAGTCTGCGGCCTCTGCTGCCTATATCGAATTCGCGGATTGGCGATGGCAGCTCAGAGGAGTGAGGCGGGGACCCATGGTGGAGATGAATGGGGTTGAACCCGTAAGAGGATAGAGGAATAGCAGGGCACCTCATCTTGAAAGCCTTCACTTGGGGGCGCATGGAGTCCCAGGGATGTGATTCGGGGCCCTCTGCAGGGAAACAAGATTTGAAGGACTGATGTCGGTGGCTTCCGGTCTTGGATCAGACAACTTACATGCAGAAAAGCGTCTGCGCCAAATTCGTGCAAGACGAGCTCCTGGGCTCTGAAAGCATCTGAAAGCTAGTCCCGATTTAAGTAAGTGTCCAGTTTGTATATACACATCTACATGTATAAACGCATCGTGCAGCTTGCTTCGCCAGCTCTTGTGCAGAAGCCAGCGTTTAATGCTGACCTATTATTTGTTGAGCGGGATCCATTGCCATGACCTCCCCCGGAATTTGTGTTGAGGCTTTGGGGCCATCTGAGAATGCAAAGGTATTGGCTCTTTAGGCTTGGCTTCTGAGACCTTGTGAGTTGAGCCTGAAGAAAGCTGAGACACTGAAACTTGCAAGCCTGAACCCATCCCTACATGAGATGTCTGAGCTGAGTCTGAGCAAAGC